AAACTATCAAGGCTAGAAGAAGGTCTAATACAAACTGATACTTTCTATCACTTATACAGACCAGAGTTAAAACTGTCAAGTCTAGAAGAAGGTCTAATACAAACTGATACTTTCTATCACTTATACAGACCAGAGTTAAAACTATCAAGTCTAGAAGAAGGTGTAATACAAACTGTTACTTTCTATTACTTATACATACCAGAGTTAAAACTATCAAGTCTAGAAGAAGGTGTAATACAAACTGATACTTTCTATCACTTATACAGACCAGAGTTAAAACTATCAAGGCTATAAGAAGGTCTAATACAAACTGTTACTTTCTATCACTTATACAGACCAGAGTTAAAACTATCAAGGCTAGAAGAAGGTGTAATACAAACTGATACTTTCTATCACTTATACAGACCAGAGTTAAAACTATCAAGGCTAGAAGAAGGTCTTTATTTGAACTTTATTATAAATTTACTGCAACAAAATTAAAATTATTGATACAACTGTAAGAAATAACAGGAACAAGGTGTTAATCAAATTTACCAACACAACTATAAGAAATGACAGGAATTCCTGTCATTTCTTACAATTGTGTTGGTAACTTTGATTAACACCTTGTTCCTATCATTTCTCATGGTTGTGTTGGTAAAGTTAACACCTTGTTCCTGTCACTTTGATTAACATCTTGTTTTTGTCATTTCTCCTGGTTGTATCTGTAACGTTAACACCTTGTTCCTGTCATTTCTTACAATTGTGTTGGTAACTTTGATTAACATCTTGTTCCTGTCATTTCTTACAATTGTGTAGGTAACTTTGATTAACACCTTGTTCCTATCATTTCTCATGGTTGTGTTGGTAAAGTTAACACCTTGTTCCTGTCACTTTGATTAACATCTTGTTTTTGTCATTTCTCCTGGATGTATCTGTAACGTTAACACCTTGTTCCTGTCATTTCTCATGGTTGTGTCTGTAACATTAACACCTTGGAAGGTGTTAATCAAAGTTACCTTGAGAAATGACAGGAACATGGTGTTAATCAAAGTTACCTACACAATTGTAAGAAATGACAGGAACAAGATGTTAATCAAAGTTACCTTCACAATTGTAAGAAATGACAGGAACAAGATGTTAATCAAAGTTACCAACACAATTGTAAGAAATGACAGGAAGAAGGTGTTAATCAAAGTTACCTTCACAACCTTGAGAAATGACAGGAACATGGTGTTAACATTACAGACACAACCATGAGAAATGACATTAACAAGGTGTTAATCAAAGTTACCTGGACCTTTACTTAATTCAGTAGAACTTTAACAGAGCTCGTCCTGAGAGACCACTCAAACCTGATTCAGTACACAGCACAAAACGTGGTCTCCATTGAAAACAGAACAAGTCTGTGGGAAACTATCCCAAGATGTCACCTCCAACAATAACAACTTGTAGACTTAATACCACCAGTTTGAAGTGATATCAGCTTTAGTTGCCTACTTCAAACACCATTCATATCTGTATCATAGTTCAATCGATCTCACAATCTTTCATGATGTATACATATTTTGTTTTTGTTGATCATAGAATGTTAATATTACTTTCTTTTGTTGTCTCCAGCACAAATCTCTTTACATAGCCTCCGACTCTGCAGTGCAACAGATCAGTTTAGTAATGTGTCGAAGTCGTCATCCCAACTGTCTTCAATGTGTCCGAGATCCGTACTGTGGTTGGGACAAAGATCTAAACCTGTGTAAACCCTACGTTCGAGGGTAAGAAACTGGCATATTCTAGCAATTCACATAAAGACTGCAGTGACATTTATACTTTTGATAAATATCATACAGTTACATTAAAGGATCTACCTGTGTTTAATGGTTTTGTCCGTTTTTAAGGTATTAGATTGAACAAGTTGGTTAATCCAACAGCCAAAGTGACTGGGGTTGATATTCATGATTAATCTATATGAGACAGAATAACCCACTATTGGTGGAATCTTCATCTTAATTTTTAAGATTTAGTACTTGTAATGTTCATGGTTTAAATAATCACTTCACAGGTTACTTCAGGACGTCACTCGTGCAACCAAGAACGTTTGTTTCAACCGTAAGTAACATCACCCTATGTTCCAATCTCAGATTTACTGTATGGAGTTTTATACTATATATAACTATAATTTTATAATTAGGATGTTATCAGTGTTACACTTATAAATACCTCTAAATTTTTAATTAAGAAAAGTTTGTGTTATTACATTAACTTATCACAGAAAGTGTGACCTAACTAACTGTGTTTTCTTTTTTATACAGCCTATATTAATACTAGAAATAAATGACCTTATAACACTAAAATGTGGTTTGGTTTAATCAGGCACTCATTGTTTAACTTTATAGCTTCTTCCACTAAAACACAAACCACAGACCTTATAACACTAAAATGTGGTTCGCGTTTAATCAGGCACTCATTGTTTAACTTTATAGCTTCTTCCACTAAAACACAAACCACAGACCTTATAACACTAAAATGTGGTTCGCGTTTAGTCAGGCACTCAATGTTTAACTTTATAGCTTCTTCCACTAAAACACAGACCTTATAACACTAAAATGTGGTTCGCGTTTAATCAGGCACTCAATATTTAACTTTATAGCTTCTTCCACTAAAACACAAACCACAGACCTTATAACACTAAAATGTGGTTCGCGTTTAATCAGGCACTCATTGTTTAACTTTATAGCTTCTTCCACTAAAACACAAACCACAGACCTTATAACACTAAAATGTGGTTCGCGTTTAATCAGGCACTCATTGTTTAACTTTATAGCTTCTTCCACTAAAACACAAACCAGAACTGAAGTTACAAAGCTTCTATGGTTTAAATAATAAATTCTAATTGAATCTATAATGTGCATTTCCACAGCATATTTTGACATATTAATTAGTGAAGGTTAGCTGTTACCTGTCCTATCAAGGCTACAGAGTGAAATAATTAACTGTTACCTGTTCTATCAAGGTTACAGGTTGAAATAATTAACTGTTACCTGTTATATCAAGGTTATTGTTGAAATAATTAACTGTTACCTGTTCTATCAAGGTTACAGGTTGAAATAATTAACTGTTACCTGTTCTATCAAGGTTATTGTTGAAATAATTAACTGTTACCTGTTCTATCAAGGCTACAGAGTGAAATAATTAACTGTTACCTGTTCTATCAAGGTTACAGGTTGAAATAATTAACTGTTACCTGTTCTATCAAGGTTACAGGTTGAAATAATTAACTGTTACCTGTTCTATCAAGGTTACAGGTTGAAATAATTACCTGTTATATCAAGGTTACAGAGAGAAATGTTGGTGTTATAAGGTCATTTATTTCTAGTGTTAATGTGTCTTATATTATACACCAATATGAACTACAGAAATTACATAACAACCTAAATTGTCATATACTGTAATGACGTGGTTGGTGTGGACGTTATTCTAACATGAAACTGTTGTATGATGTAATTGATATGGATGTTATTCTAACATGAAACTGTTGTATGATGTAATTGATATGGATGTTATTCTAACATGAAACTGTTGTATAATGTAATGATGTAGTTGGTGTGGACATTATTCTAACATGAAACTGTTGTATGATGTAATTGATATGGATGTTATTCTAACATGAAACTGTTGTATAATGTAATGATGTAGTTGGTGTGGACGTTATTCTAACATGAAACTGTTGTATAATGTAATGATGTAGTTGGTGTGGATGTTATTCTAACATGAAACTGTTGTATAATGTAATGATGTAGTTGGTGTGGACGTTATTCTAACATGAAACTGTTGTATGATGTAATTGATATGGACTTTATTCTAACATGAAACTGTTGTATAATGTAATGATGTAGTTGGTGTGGACGTTATTCTAACATGAAACTGTTTTATAATGTAATGATGTCACCTTTGTTGTTGTTCATTCTCTACTATTATTCTCTTATTTCTAAAGTTGTAAACCAACACGGTGTTTTTACTACTATAGTATTGTATTATAAAACTGTTACTAATTATTTATTAATATGGTTTTGTTGGCTTGTTTGACTGCAGTAGCCAAAAGTGCAGTATTGTTTGTAGCTAAACAGTTAAATTTAAAAATAGTTGACACTATTATTTTCTGGCCAATAAGGGGAGAGGAAAAAATCACTTGAGGTCCACTGGGGTCAGAGTGTTCATCTTTCGTGTCCAATACGCCAATGTCAGCAGGAGGTATTAGGCTTAGGACCAGTAGAATGGTACCACTACAAGCAGGACAAAGGAAAGTATCAGATCATGCCCCAAAAAAAGACATACATTCATTCATCTGATCTTGGGCTAGTCATCATGTCCATTAGCGAGGACCAGATAGGCCAATATTATTGTATAGTGGATGGCACAAAGCTATTTAGCTACAACATCACCATTGCTTCAAGTGAGTAGTCATATTTTCTTAGTGAGGCTTTTGTAAAGACTACAATAATAAAGGAGAGTAGTTGAATATATGTACAAGAACATATGGTGTCAGTGAAATTCACCACAATGTTATCTTTTGTTCTGAAGGTCATAATAATGGTTGAAAGTGTTTCAGTCCACTCGTGTCCAGGACTGTGGCCTGCATGTATCCTTTATTTAGTATTGTGTGATACATAACATACTTTATGATCAGAATACAGTGAAATCTGATGGTTGATATTCTACTTTACATCTTAATTAGTTTTACCTCTACAGAGTCCTGTAATTCACCCTCACAGTACATCTCAATTGGTTTTCTCTACAGAGTCCTGTAATTCACCCTCACAGTAACATCTTAATTAGTTTTACCTCTACAGAGTCCTGTAATTCACCCTCACAGTAACATCTTAATTAGTTTTACCTCTACAGAGTCCTGTAATTCACCCTCACAGTAACATCTTAATTAGTTTTACCTCTACAGAGTCCTGTATTTCACCCTCACAGTAACATCTCAATTGGTTTTCTCTACAGAGTCCTGTAATTCACCCTCACAGTACGAATATAAGAAAATATATTCTGATTGGTGCAATGAATTTGAAAAATATAAAACAACGATGAAATTATGGCAGAGAAACCAAGTGGTAAGTTCTTTTGATGTTCTTGTTTTAAGAGTAAAAAAAAATCTAATGATTTGTTGCTTTACATTTATGTCTTTATTGCATTCCTGGAAAGTTTTGAACTGTTTCGTAGTTTTATAATAAGAAACTCAAACAAGCAGCCTGTAAAAAAAGTTGTATTTCTAGTAAAGAATAATGCTACCATAGTTTTATTTCCAAAAACATTGAGCTTATGTGAATTTCTTAGGTTTGAATGTAAATTTATCATATTCTGTTAAACAATTTGAAGATATTGTAATACTTCTAAGTTATGTACCTTTAAGATCTACAATTCTACTTAATTATAATGTTAAACTATTAAATATTTTGTTTTGCCTATCTCGTATTACTTACTGTTATGACTGTAAACGATAAATGATGTGTTTATGTATTACCTTATCTTGTATTACTTACTGTTATGACTGTAAACGATAAATGACGTGTTGATGTTTTACTTTATCTTGTATTACTTACTGTTATGACTGTAAACGATAAATGACGTATTTATGTTTTACTTTATCTTGTATTACTTACTGTTATGACTGTAAACGATAAATGACGTGTTTATATTTTACTTTATTCATTTTTTGGGATTGTTAAAAAGATTTTTAATTAATACTGATAATGACTTCTCTAAAAACTCACTTTTTTACTCTAATATCTAATGTCTTAGCTCAACATCTAGATTAATGTGTAGTATTCTCAACCACATGCTCTGTGATGTTTGGTATAAACCACTTAGAGGTGTTGAATGTGTCACAACATCTAGATTAATGTGTAGTATTCTCAGCCACATGCTCTGTGATGTTTGGTATAAACCACTCAGAGGTGTTGAATGTGTCACAACATCTAGATTAATGTGTAGTATTCTCAGCCACATGCTCTGTGATGTTTGGTATAAACCACTTAGAGGTGTTGAATGTGTCACAACATCTAGATTAATGTGTAGTATTCTCAACCACATGCTCTGTGATGTTTGGTATACACCACTTAGAGGTGTTGAATGTGTCACAACATCTAGATTAATGTGTAGTATTCTCAACCACATGCTCTGTGATGTTTAGTATAAACCACTGAGAAGTACTGAATGTGTTACAACATCTAGATTAATGTGTAGTATTCTCAGCCACATGATGTTTAGTATAAACCACTGAGAAGTACTGAATGTGTTACACAACAATAACAATGTACATTTTTATGCTACCACATACTGCTGATACACAATTCGCAGGACAGTATTCATTCTGTTTAAAACTAGGAGTTTGGAAATATATATTTTTAAATAATTAGACTACATACTTGTTTTGTTTTTCTAGAAATGCCAGAATCCACATCCAAATGATGTTACTTACCATGCAGATCCACCAAATCTATGAAAGAACCCAGACAAGTAATTTATCACTAACGTAACAATTTCAATAGATCTCAGTGCCGACAAGGAAAGACTTCTTTATATGTTGCTGAGTCTAGTGAAACTGAAGACAAACTGTCAAAGTGGTGTCAGTCAGACCAACGATGGACAGATCAACGAACGTACAAGATCCAGCCAGTCTATGTGCCAACATGTCGGTCACAAATATATATACACCTATACTTACAAGAAGTTTATCTGTAGTTATTTATAATTGTTTCAAATCATGTCTAACTTTACTTTCCCTATGACTAATTATTTTGTACACATTCATTACCTTACTCAGGACTAAAGGCAAAGTATAGAACTCTAAAAGTTTTTCAGCCACCAACATTCATGTTCTATTCCAACTTCACAGTAGAAGATGGTAACACACTCATCTTCTGGTTAAGAACTGGTTTTCTTATCTAAATAGCAAGTGATTCTAAGTTGGAGTTCTTCCTGGGAATGGAGGATGACGCGGAACAAACTGGAGGTAGACATAACATTACATTCAATTAGACATTGGTTGGTAATACTACTGATATTGTACGTTTTAGATTTAGAGTGTTCTTTTAATCAACTGCAGCCAGTTGGTCCAGTGTCTCCCTGGTTGCACCTTGGGCACACAAACTCCTATATCACTAGTGAAGAATTTAATGGGTGTTGTTTGTCTTTAAAAGTTGAATAACCTCTTTAAACTATACTCTGGTTAATGACACACTTTAATTGAACTTGTGGATACAGCTGTGTGATAATCTTCTTAAACAACATATACGATATTTAGTTCATTCTAGTTAGAATGACAATGGAAAACAATTAATTTTAAGCATTTGTTTAATGGTTTTAATTTCCTGATATTTTAAATATACTTTACTTTTAAAAGATTAAAGATTAAACTGTGAATAAAGTCTAGTGAAAGTGGATATACTATTGTGGTAATTACATCCTGAACATCTGAGAATATGTTTACCATTTTAAAAACAGGAGAAAATTGTTAACCAACTCAATATTGTTATACACTGCAAAAGTGCCAACGTACTTCCTGTAATACACGTGATTAAAACATAAAGGACAGGATGGTCACCAAACTTTTTCATGAAACCAGGGTATAGTTTAAAAAGGCTAAATACTTCACTAGTGATGTAGGAGATCATGTGGACCAACCAGGATGTTAGAATCACTTGCTATTTAGATAAGAAAACCAGTTCTTAACCAGAAGATGAGTGTGTAACCATCTTTAAATGTGCTATGTCTACAACGAAAGACAACAACAACAACCACTTTATACCTGACCTTACTAAAGATGAGCAACCTGAATATAACCATATAACAAAGTTGAAATAGGTAGGAACTGCCTTTCGACTTTTGTTTGTTCATCATGAACACTGCCTGAATAATCTTTATACAAGTTTAATGATTGCATGAGAACTAGAACCAAATTAAAGTATGAAAATCTTCACATTTCAACAGTTTGACCACATCCAAGGTTAATAACTGTTTCCTTCATCATGAAGTCAAAAAACAACTAAATTAACCCGGATAACACGAGACTGAGCCACCAGAAAGAAATCCTGTGCAGAAGGACGTGTGAAATGGATGGAAGTAGAAAAGATATTCTTAAACCTCGACTAGATGCGTGACTCAGGTTGCCGATATGCAATGTAACGTCCTACGTCAGAAGCTCAGTTAATTCTTCAGGACAAAAAGAATTGTTCAGTATTAGTCATGTGTAAAATAAAAGTATGATTGTGAGAAGTAGTAAATTTTAGTTTTTTATTAAACGGATATATCTCCTAACATCATCCTTACAACATTAGCAGGGTTCTTGCTAATGTACATTTATCAACATAGCTTGATCCTTACAACATTAGCAGGGTTCTTGCTAATGTACATTTATCAACACAGCTTGATCCTTACAACATTAGCAGGATTCTTGCTAATGTACATTTATCAACATAGCTTGATCCTTACACATTAGCAGGGTTCTTGCTAATGTACATTTATCAACATAGCTTGATCCTTAAAACATTAGCAGGATTCTTGCTAATGTACATTTATCAACACAGCTTGATCCTTAAAACATTAGCAGGATTCTTGCTAATGTACATTTATCAACATAGCTTGATCCTTAAAACATTAGCAGGATTCTTGCTAATGTACATTTATCAACATAACTTGATACTTACAACATAGCAGGGTTCTTGCTAATGTACATTTATCAACATATCTTGATCCTTAAAACATTAGCAGGATTCTTGCTAATGTACATTTATCAACATAGCTTGATCCTTACAACATTAGCAGGGTTCTTGCTAATGTATACAACATAGAAAAGTGAAGAGCTTTTTGTAAAACATTTGTTATCTTTGAAGTTAGTTTAAACAACCACACTTCCACATACAAGACAACTGGTAGGAAAACAATAATAATTCAACAGCCAGACTTGGATGTATTGGTATAAATAATAAAGGTAAAAGTTAGCCTACATACCAGCTTTAACAATAATAAAGTTTTACAATTTTCAATATACAAACTTATACATGCAACAACTAGGCTAAGATGTTCCATATACAAAACAGCCAATATAAATACTATAGTTCAACTTTTACACATGCAGCAACGAAGCTAAGATGTTCCAAATGAAAATAATTGGAATAAGAATTCAACGTTTACACATGCAACAACCACAGAAAAATGTTCCATATGCAAAATAACCAGTGTAAAAATAATAGTTCAACTTTTACACATGCAACAATCAGGCTAAGATGTTCCAAGTAAAAATAATTGGAATAATATTCAATGTTTACACATGCAACAACCAGGCTAAGATGTTGCAAATAAAAATAATTGGAATAATATTCAACGTTCACACATGCAATAACCACAGAAAAATGTTCCATATACAAAATAACTAGTATATAAATAATAGTTCAACTTTTACATATGCAACAACCAGGCTAAGAAGTTCCATATAAAAACAATCAGAATAAATATTATTGTTCAACTTTTACAAATAGAAACTAGACTTGAAACCCTGTGATTGAGTATTCTTCACATTGCATGGAAACTAAGACTCAAATGTTTTGTCATCAGATTCAGCATTCTTGAACACAGAAATCAGGTCTCCAATCATAACAAAGTCAAAAATATGTAGACTCTTTCTTAAAGAAGCCAAATGAATACTACAAGGTGCTAGATTTGACCCAAAGTAGACTGTTTAAAAGGTATAGGCTGATAGCTAGCTACAGTAGTGTGATCAAAGCATCACGTAGATCTGGTATAGGCTGATAGCTAGCTATAGTAGTGTTATCAAAGCATCATGTAGATCTGGTATAGGCTGATAGCTAGCTACAGTAGTGTTATCAAAGCATCACGTAGCAAGTTTGATCTGGTATAGGCTGATAGCTAGCTACAGTAGTGTGATCAAAGCATCACGTAGTGTGATCAAAACATCACGTAGCAAGTTTGATCTTAAAATATCCATTTTATTTTCTAACTGTGTAATGATTCATTATACACACATGGTAATGTCACACACAAGCATTTGTTTCTCTGATTTAAAAGCAAGCATTATAGTTTAGAACATATATATGTCTATGAACAAGCAAACATAATAGTCAAAATTTTCAAGAAAAATGGACTTTCATTTTAATATGCTTTTGTTGTGTTTAAACTACACACACACATATATATATATATATATATATATAT